TATCATACAGAGAGGATCCGTTTTTTTTTAGCTTTACCTCAGACAAGAACTTCATTATATATATATATAAGATCATAAATTTTTCATAGGATATATGAATACTGTAAAGTTGTGTCTTCACAGCTGGTACCTAATTGAGCCAGCATGCCTAAGTGTACTCTAAAAACAGACCCCTTTTCCAGTCTTGGCATAAGTCTCTTTGGTGTGACGGAAACCTCTCTTGATGAGGTTCTTATTGATTAGGGGTGACCATCTTCCTTCTGGGCTTGATCCTAAACCAGGGTACTGCAGATTTATGTGCTTTTCACAGAGGTTTATCTTTGCCTTAATGCCTCTTTGTTCAGCACTGTATTGGTGTTTCTGTCACGTTGTTAAAATCTATGGTGCAATATCACTCACTTGGAATGGGCTCATCGATGTGTCAGGCCTTCTAGATGTATGGCCCAATATGGCAGGGAGAGCAAAAAGGAAGAAAAGAAGTGGTAAGCTCATAAACCTATACTGTATCTTTATTCTGACTGATGGTGTTCCTTCCCAAAACAGGCAAAGAGATGATACAAAACCAGCAGACATTATTCCAATATGCTCAGCTAAATTATTCCCCTTTTTTCCCATGTCAATAATGAATGTTTTCATTTTCCTTTGGCCTGGAAAATTTCCTCTGACATTTCAGCTTATCCACAGTTCATGACTGCATGTAAAAACACTGAATAGAAATGATTCATGTCTGCTCTCTGCAGTGTTTTTATCTTCTCTGTGTAAATCCTGTCATCAGGTGTATTCAGAGATATGCCAGCTATTTTTACCTGCTAACCATTTTGGTTAAGCTTCTGAACTAAGTACTCTCTCTGACTAAGCCATGTTCTCTGTGGTTATGGTAATCATCGAGCCATTCTTGTTATGCAGTTATATTTCCTCCAGCTGGCCCATTTGATCATGCTCCATGTTGCTGAGGGCTTGTAACAAGGTGTCCAAATGGAAGGCTCTTCCTCCAAATGACCAGTTTTATTACGTAAAATGTCATGTCCAACATTAAACACTAATTATTCAATACTAAAGTACCTTTGCCTTTTTAATTTTCTTTTTCCAAAGTACGGGGTACTTTATAGATAATCTTTTTAATTATCTCCTTAAGGACCTTCTCCAGTTTCACGAAAACATTTTTTGAACAAAACCAAAGAAAAAAAAAATGGAATAAAAGGGATTACAGCAGATAACATAAGAAAAACTACTCAGCTACCTGTTTTGGTCAAAACTGGTGTTCACTCCTTATATTGCTCTATTATTGCTAGTGTACATCTTTGTTAACTATTTCAAAGTAACTTTTAATCAGGTTTGTGGCAAAATATAACTAAATATTGCTTCCTTATTACATAAATATTAGCTACTGTTTTTTGTCTCTGGAGCATCACTACAAACATTTTTTTAAATAATTTATTAACTAAGTGGTATATATTAATGAGCAGTTTACTATTTCATACTCATTTTGGTAGTTTCTTAGGACTGTGTGGAGTTTATTGTAGTTCAAGGGATTGCAATTCAAAATTCTAAGATTATATAACAGTTAAAGCTTAAATACTCCGACAGTTTTGAGATCAGCTTTTTTACATTCTTACCTGGAGGTGGAGGAAGGTTGATGTCAGTTTTGTCTCTTCATTGGGCTGACTGGTCCAATTCGCGTTAGCTTGGCACAGGGTATGGTATGACTCCTGGAGATAATACATACACTGAACAAAATTATAAATGTGTTTGCCCCCAAAATTCATGAGCTGAACTCAAAGATCTACGTCTTGTTCTATGTACATAAAAGGCCTATTTCTCTCGAATATTGTTCACAAATCTGTCTAAACCTGTTAGTGAGCACTTCTCCTTTGCTGAGATAATCCGTCCACTTCACAGGTGTGCCTTAGGCTGGCCACAATAAAAGGCCACTCTAAAATGTGCAGTTTCACTGTATTGGTCCGGGGAGTCCGAAAACCAGTCAGTATCTCGTGTGACCACCATTTGCCTCACACAGTGCAGCACATCTCCTTCACATAGAGTTGATCAGGTTGTTGATTGTGGCCTGTGGAATGTTGGTCCACTCTTTAATGGCTGTGCGAAGTTGCTTGGCAGGAACTGGAACACACTGTCATATACACCGATCCAGAGCATCCCAAACATGCTCAATGGGTGACATGTCAGGTGGGTATGCTGGCCATGCAAGAACTGGGATGTTTTCAGCTTCCAGGAATTGTGTACAGATCCTTGCAACATGGGGCCGTGCATTATTATGCTGCAACATGAGGTGATGGTCGTGGATGAATGGCACAACAATGGGCCTCAGGATCTCGTCACGGTATCTCTGTGCATTCAAAATGCCATCAATAAAATGTACCCGTTTTCATTGTCCATAACATGCCCATAGCATAACCCCACCGCTACCATAGGCCACTCAATCCACAACACTGACATCAGCAAACTGCTCACCCACATGACAACATACACTCTGTCTGCCATCTGCCCTGTACAGTGAAAACCAGGATTCATGCATGAAGAGAACTTCTCTCCAAAGTGCCAGACGTCATCGAATGTGAGCATTTGCCCACTCAAGTCGGTTACGATGACAAACTACACTCAGGTCGTGACCCCAATGAGGACGACGAGCAGGCAGATGAGCTTCCCTGAGACGGTTTCTGAAAGTTTGTGCAGACATTCTTTGGTTATGCAAACCGTCTCTTGCAGCAGCTGTCCAGGTGGCTGGTCTCAGATGAACTTGGAGTTGAAGATGCTGGATGTGGAGGTCCTGGGCTGGTGTGGTTACACGTGGTCTGCGGCTGTGAGACCAGTTGGATGTACTGCCAAATTCTCTGAAACGCCTTTGGAGACAGCTTATGGTAGATAAATAAACATTCAGTTCACAAGCAACAGCTCTGGTGGACATTCCTGCAGTCAGCATGCCAATTGCACGCTCCCCCAAAACTTGCGACATCTGTGGCATTGTGCTGTATGATAAAACTGCACATTTTAGAGTGGCCTTTTATTGTGGCCAGCCTAAGGCATACCTGTGGATGGATTATCTCGGCAAAGGAGAAGTCCTCACTAACACAGATTTAGACAGATTTGTGAACAATATTTGAAATAGGCCTTTTATGTACATAGAACAAGTCGTAGATCTTTGAGTTCAGCTCATGAAAAATGGGGGCAAACACAAAAGTGTTGCATTTATAATTTTGTTCAGTGTACATATTCCATTAAGTTAAAAATTGTCTTAATTAGATAATGTGACCAGTTGGCTGGCCTGCTGACAGTAGTCACGGATAACCCTTTATTAGGAGACACGTAGTTTAGTCTGGAGTTGGAAGGTGTTTGAAGCTTGCAGTGTCACTGTGAGGACAGGACATTCTGAAGTCATGTTAAGCCAACAAAAAATCTCCAAACTGTTAGCCTGCTGCTTGTCAAACCAGTGTCTTGTTTCCTGCACATATTAAATGTGGAACACGTGATGTGGGTGTTGTTAAAATGCACATTTGATGAAACTGGTCTAAGCAACAAAAGCAAAATAGCCAATGATTCAGGTATTGAGTAATTAGTAAAACAATGTAATTCTTTTTCAGTCATAATAATTATATATAATAATGATCAATTGATTAGATTTTTCAAAAATAATGTGCTGAACATTTGTGAATACTACTCTAGTTACTACACCAGTTAATGAGAGGGGGCCCACCTGATGACCCCGGAGACTTGCCTTCACTCCTACACCCACACAGAACGTGTATTGGTGTCGACGAATATATAGTTACAGACTCACTGGAATTGGTAATAGTCTTCTTTTGTTAGACAATCTTGGTAGAACAGTGTCAGTGGCTGGACAACTGAGCTTAAAGAGGTGACTGCCATTACAAGCCAGTTGGGCCAGCCACTGCCTAACCTGAGCAAATACAATACTGTGTGTCAAGCCACATATCTGCTCTTTGCATGGGTGAAGATCAGATTCAGGGATGCTTTGTTTTAAAGGTAGATTAGGTCTGGAAAACGGTGTTGCTTATTGTGGGGCTCTGAAGATTTATGACGGCATGGCCTTACAACCTCTCTTTGAGGCCAAATAATGGGAAAACATCACTTAACGCATATACTGAGCTTCAATATGAATGCTCTCCCATTCTTTGGCACATCTGTGTGTTACTGACCGACCCCCATGTTTTAAATAAAACTTGTCTTGAATGCTTGAATTTACATATACAAACAAAACCAGCTGCGAATAAGACTTAATCTGCCAACATTAACCTTGCATCACCAGATCCTTTTTCTTCCCAGGCACCCACAGCAGCTCAAATTGCCCAGAGGAATGCTTATTTTCAGGCATCAGAGCATGGGCCAGACAATGTCTGTCCTTTTCAAAGGGTATCAGGGATTGGCAGGGCCATGATCTCTTCTACTTGCAGGTCTTTTGTGATTCCCTGGAGGGGCTGAAGCCAGGCGAGCTCCCTGGCGCCAATCTGCTCTTTCACCCAGTCAGCCTTCATTAGCCTCTACCGTAACATTCCTTCTGCCGCAGATCCAGAATTCCTGATGGGCTGACTTAATGTAATACAATAAGATTCACAAAATCCTCAGTACAAAAACAAGTCATAATACAGCTCAACTGTCAGGCAACTAAACTGTGAGGAAAGGGGATGTTCAGTTTGGCTCTACAGTATGTATGTATTTGTATATATGTACTCATGTTCAGTAATTATATGCATCTTCTGTAAGTGTCTTCTTTTCATAGTACTTCCAATAAGTAAGCAGTAAAATACAGTTAAGTAAATTGGCCAAGATTTGATCACTCTAGGTTAGAGCTGCATGATTATAAAGAAAGCTAAAGGAATCAGAACTGCACACAACCCGGCCCACCAGCTAGAATTATTGTTGTTTCTCTGCAAGTTCATGCTCATTAAGAGGTGTTTTGTTAAATTACTCATTTTTACTCACTGAGATTTTATTTCACATACAGTAAGGAGCTTAGGTGTTGTCATTTAGATTGTTTAATTTCACCCGACATGAGCAAAAAATTATGCAGAAGGCTGAAGGGGTGCGTTTATAACACCAGACAGAGTGTGAAACAAAGTGCGTCAATAATAGTTTTATCTCAATTATTTTGTTTTCATAATCATTGGAAGCCTAAAATCATACAGTAATTGAAAATAAAATTTGATTAATTGCTGAGCCCTACTCTAGGTACATGTAGCCCAGTACTCCACAGAATTATGTTCATATTGGATCATCCTGCAGTTCACAATTTACATTCAGTGCTAATTCAGTAAATACCAAAGCAGGAAATAATGTGCAAGGTGGCAAGTGAGGGTGTCGAGGTGCAAGTGGTGGATAGGCAATTTGTGTCCCATGACAAACATGCAAAATATGTTAGGCTTTTTACTATCATAGCCACAATTATTCCCTAACATTAAACAAGTGTTTTAGTTGCCTAATATTAAGCATAGATTATTTGGCACTGGAATAAAAAAGACAAAACATTATAACTGAACATAATTCAAGGTTTTGTGTCACTGTACTGCTAGCTATTCTCTACAGTGTTGCATTAGCACTAGCATGGTTTAAACATACACATCTTTACAGTGCACTTCCCTTTAAGATAACACAGATTAAGGGTAAGCCTTTGCTGATGAATAAATCTGCACAACGTTCTTTGAAAATCTATGGTCATATCAGTCTTATCAAAAACATTAATCAAAAATACACACATTATATATAATGACAGTACACTCATCAACAATCTCAATAAGCGTGATTGTATTAGGCACTGTATTGTTGAAGTGAGATGCTTCGATCAATACCAGTCAATGCAGTGCATCAACAGTTTGTGCTAGTTCAGCAGACAGGGAGGCGATCAGTCATACTGATAGGAAAGGACCTCAGAACCTTAATTCAACCTGTGCTAGGCGCATGAGGCAGTGAAACTGAGCTCTCTGTACACCGTGATACTGTGAGGTGGGCCTCAGCTGTGTAGCACACGCACAACTACTTACTGAACCAAAACCCTTGTATGCTATAGGTCAGACGGTAGGCTATACAGTCAGGTCAGGTTCCTTTACATTTCTGATGATGTGTCATTAATACCCAGCTATCCTTTAATGCATAAGTTATTAAAGTTCTTGAATGGTTGCCTTTCAACACTTCACACAATAAGGCTGTAATTAAAGTCTAACTCAACCATCTACATGCCATCGTCTGTTGACTGACACAGGACAAAAGCAAAACTGAAAACTACCACATTTTAAGGAAATTTTACTGAATGGATATCAGAGGATGAATGAAAAGTCTAGAGAACAAAGCCCCAGCTATGAAAAATACCTTTTTCACTTGCTTACTTTTTTTTGTACATTGTTTTTAACAATTATCAAGATGGGAAAGGAGTAGCAAAAAGAATGAGGCTCCCACTTGTTGAACCCTTGAAACTGAAGTGTGTTATTATCTGTCGATAGGATTTCAAGAGGGTTGAAGATAAAAGGGTTTCAGACCGATTTCAGTGAACAGATGTGTGTTGTTGCTCTCAGTTGCTCTTTGCTTCTGTGCTTGAGGAGTAGTCATGAATAAATATGTTACACAGCATGTGAAAATTTCTCTACAATATCCAGACATGGCACTGCTTACTACTACCCAACTAACCTGGTGATTTAATCATTTGCATAAAACCACTTTCCTTGCTCCCTAATTTGTCATAAGCTTTATTTTACTGAAATATCTTTGAAAGCCAAGGAACATTCATTTGTAATACTGTAACTGACAATTCACTAAACCCTCCTGCAAACAGCCATTGTCCTGTCATAGCATAACAAGTAAGCGCAGCAGGCTTGTCAAGCTTTGGATTTCTGCATGGCGATGCAGTAGGTATAGGGGCTGCTGTAAAAGTAATGCCCCTTGTATAATGAGTTTTGAGTTTTTTTTTTCCTTTTCCTTTTTCAAAACCAAAAACACAAGAGCTACAGTGTTTGAAGTGGATTAGTTTGTTTGTGTCTGACTGCTAATGGTGGTGCAGCTATTAACACGTCCAGCTAACTAACTTACTACCTACAGATGTAAATAGACTTAACCGAAATGTGTCATGTGTGTACAAAAATAAAAACAATCCAACAGCCATTTGTGTGATGTCAAATTTTGCCATTTCCTCAAAGGCTGCTCAGCTACAGTATGTTCCTTCCAGTATGGCTTGATCAGAAGCTTCTCCGTAAACATCTGCTTTGGTGACTGGTAACTGATTTTCACACCTGTGAAAAGATCAGATGAGTTACTTGGAAGGGGGTAAAATTTGATTTGAGTCAGTTCAGCATGTAACATGAACTTAGCTTTAGTCATTTAGCCTGATTTCAGTTTTCCTCTCTGCCACAGCACCTGAGGTATTCATAATGCCTCATATTTTGTTGAAATCAATTTTAATTCAAATGCTGATAATATATAAAGCTGCAAAGGCAAAAAGGAAATGCTCAACTTTCCGTTCCCAGGATATCTTTCCACTGCAGAGACACTATTGATCCATCTGATATAAAGAATCTGATGGTGTGGGCATAAGTATTGGCTTCACCTTAACTCACTTGTTGGGGAGGTATTTTCATGGTTTGACTGAAAGAACATCTGTCAGCCAACGCACACACACAAAAACACACAACCAGACATACAGGTTGTCTCCACCAAGAAAAAAAAAGTCCAATACAAATCCAATGAATCACTTTAAGTGCATTTCTGCCTTTCTGTTTATCAACTGGCTCCATATAAACAGCATTTGCTAATGCTAACATGCTAGAAGCTAGTGCTGACACTCTGTGGAGACCCATTTCATGCTTGACCAGTTCAGGGGATAATGAGTGCAGTTAGCATCTCACAAGTGAGCTTGCACAGTAATCGAACATCATTAATTCCACTGTGATTCATTTTGTAACCAAATCACTGCTTCAGGTCCACTCGCGCGCTAGGAGCACTGAGAGGGTGGGGGGGGGGGAGACAGGTGTTCTGAGGACAGCCTCTGTATCTCGGTAAACAAATTATGGGAATTCCATGTGTCTGCACCCTTGATTAAATGCAATAATTATGTATATAAGGTTTGCTATTGTCTTCCATTTATGAATGAAATGATTATTCTTGATATGATTGGCTTAAAACAAACTACATGTCATGGCTTCACGTCTTCCAGTGCACACACTTGAATTCCAAATTACTGTTGAGCCTGCTGATCTACAGGTTTCCACGTTATTTAACATGTTTGCTGCACACCAGATGGTGCTAAAACCAGTGCTAAAAGTAATATCAAACCAGTACACAGGTCTTTTAATCAAAATAGACATAGAAATTTTATAAAAATCCCATGAATGACATTGCACCCACTGTAACTTATTGTAATCATCGATCTATGTATGCAGGAGCCAATATGTAGTCAACCTGCCCAGCCACAACAAGTACAGTATCTAACATGCAAGCGCTCAACCAGCATTGCCAGAGAATGACTCTGTGCAGGATTTGTGGACCAAAAACATGGCAACTCAAGAAAGCATGGAAAACTATTTCAGCATGTGTTGCAATATTAGTAACTTAGATCGGAATGAATCAGGCACCAGCTTGGAAAACATTATCCATTTCTCCAAAACATCAATGGTGTTTCATTTGCATGATAGTAGAGCAAAATATACCGAATAAAACGGACCCACATCATCAAAACACCAGGGGGCAGATTTGCAAAACCTGCTGCAAATTACCGTCAGGTGTACAAAATACTGCGGCACTGCGAGCGGCATATTTACCAACACTTCTGATATGAATGAGCAGCAGTGTTAATCTGAACACATCTCTGCTTCGGATCTGCTGCCTGAATGTTGTTTCCTGTGGACCAAGAAGTGTAGAAGAAATTCTGTTCACAGCAACTGAACTTGAATATGGTTGAAGAATTCAACAAATAAATTTCGGAACTGCAGCCATGTAGTCTCCTGCCAGTCAAATCATCTTTTATTTCGCTTGGTAACAGAAGCATGGTTTGACCTGAAAGCCTTTAAAAGTCTCTCACGTTCTCCTCTGGCCATCGATGCGATTTACAAATGTCTTTTCGCTCCTCAAAAGGTCTCAGATGACTAACAGCTGCCAGGCTGAGACCAGGGCTGCACATTTTACACTCATTTTCTCCCGACAATAAAGTTCAGCAGCAGTTCCCTCTGTCACAGCGCTGGTAAATCAGGCGCTGAGGTTATCTGTATAAACGTCCATTCTCTCTTTCCTGATTTTGCACCCCTTGAACAGGAACGCCTTAAAATATATATTGCATGAGACTGAACACACAAATTCCTGCT